AGATGACTTTGATCTTCAGGAAATCGTGCGGTACCGGTCGTCTTTGTTTTGACTGGCATAGTATGCACTAGGACAATTCGTAAGCAATGCTGAATCCCCGTCAAACTGTTTAAATATCTTGCTTTGTGATACCATCAAGATTTCAAAAAAGTGATGCGTGTCACAGGGTTAAAACTACTGTTTTAGATTTTAAGGAAAAGAGCAAGGAAACCTACGTATTAACCGGAAATGTTTACAAGTTCTTCGAGATACTAACTAGAATGGGATCAAAACTGACTGGAAACCAACCGGTTTCCTTCTTAGTTAATGTCACAGCCTGTCTTTGAAGACTGTTCCGCCTTAAACCAAAGTGAAGTTGGTGACCTAGGACGGGTTTCAGATGAGGCATCTGAGAGTAGGCTTACTCCGCTTGCAGGAAGATGACGGTCGTGTTGAAGGAAACAAACTTTGGATGAGTTCATACTCATATAAGACGATTCGTTTGGAAAAGCAATATTGAAAGTGGTGTTGGAAGGACCTTAATTATACGTTAAAGTTTTTTTTGTGTTTTGAAGATTGTGAACTTTTTGAAATTTAAATGTTTAATTTTTTTAGGCAGTTAAATTAAACTTACTCAGGTCAGATGGCAAGAAATTCATGTGAAGAGTTCTGCTTTCTGGCTTTCTTGTTGTTTTTGGCATTCTGTTCCTCCATTCTGACACAATCACCAGGTCATTTAGTTCGCAGTCCAGCCTCTGTGTAGACTTGGTAACAAAGGCTGCGATATAAACACAGTAGTCTGTTGACTTAAAAACTTCATAAACGAGAGATTCAGCTTGGCACCGGATAAGTTACTCGCAAAAGCAAATTTTGTTTTCAAAAGAGTGTACATCCCAATTTGGGTTCAAGTAGAACATAAGGTTGACAGGAACTCGGGGACTGCGCCTTCTCGATAAGCTCCAAGAAGGTCGAAACCGGTCGCGGACCGGCGACAAATTTTCAGCAACCTCATGAGTAGCGTATTACTTCTACTTTGTTGACTATTCATTTAGCGTATTTGTAAGTCATCAACGCTTTTGGCACTGATTTTTGTACTATTAGTGAAAAATCCGAATCGTCGCTTAGGATTTTCGCATTCGCTTTCTGGCATTCAGCAGGGTGACACGTTCAGTGGTGTCTCACGTCATGACACTGAATCACATTCCTGATTGGTGGAGAGACGGCGTGCCACTTTCCATTTTGTGTAGTAGTTGAGCTGTCAAATCAAACTGAGCGATTTTTGTTGCCTAGGTAGAGCTGCGTGCTTGCGTAACGGTATCATCCAAACCGAATTCAACCAATGAAATGATGTCTAGATGGTCTGAGCCTGAACGCTCCAAATGTAAGCTCTGTAATGCTCTGCATGTTGAGGACGAGGGCTCGAGGGAGAGATACGGACATGTGCTCTAGATTTGATTAGGAATGCGCCCCTGACTTGCCCATTCGAAATTAATCAAGGAGAATCCGCTCTGGGTTCTCACAGTGTTGGCAGATTTGTTTCACCTACCTCATCGGAGGTTTCTTCACTTTTGTAAGGTTTCATCGTTTCGGTACGAATGCGTGAAGCTTGTCCCGGAACTACGTAAAGTTGGTTTCTCTGACTTGAGTCAAGTCAGATGCTGAGACAGGTATTTCTGTTTCACCTTCTAAAGCTCGCTCTAGAGAGGGAGTAACATTGTCCTGAACAAAAGCTTTAGACTATTTTATAAGCGGATATTTCTTGTGCATTTTAAAGCGGCACGCTTTTGCTGAATTGATTGAATGATTGACTGGCCTGGATGCTTGCCGGCCTTCCTGTTGAGATTTCGGTAGAGCAGTAGGTTAAGGCGATCTGAAGTTACTTTCAGGAATCTAACCTTTCTGATATGGGTTTGTGGGACTGCTTGAGCGATGTTGTTTCAAGGATCATAAGGTTCCACAGTACCACAGAATACAGAAAACAAGAAAAAACGGTGAAGAAAACACGCAAGTATTAGTTCCAAAAGTCCGTAACAGAAAGGTGAATTCGAAGTCGGTAGACGTGCAAGATAGCAAAATACAGAAATCTCAGGTGAAAATGTTTTTACATACAAGGGTTTGCTGACGCTGCGCAAGTTTTGGATTGGAAGATAGTTGACCACATATAAACAGAACTGAGAGAAACCTCCATAAATGTTCTCTTGAAAAATTCTTGTACATTTTCAGTATTTGCTAAACAGGGGAATTGGGGGATAGACTTCGGAACTGAACGGATTCTTTTTAAAGAGGCACTCATCCGATAGCTGGCGAGCTGTTGCATCGCTTTGCAGCAGACAGTCGGGAATGAATTTCATGGAAAACGGACGAAGATTCTTCGACAACAACAGAGCAAATGCGAATCGATAGGAATGAACATGAGCTCTGTTCAGGTGGTTTGCCAGAAAATGAGTTATTGTAGCGACAGTATCCCGTTTAGATAATCAGGACGACAAACGTGAAGGGTCACGGATCCTGTCATCAGGTTAAGACAAATAGAATGGTTGAACAGACAGGGAACTCTGGTAACAACAATATATTTTGAACTAACCAGTTTACATCTAGACAAAACCAATTTTTGCTTCCCAAGCCGGATGTTCATTTTCTTTCTTGTTCTTTCGGGACCCGACTAATCTTTGTTGCAATTTTCGATTGGTAATATTGTTTTAACCGTTGGGTGTGCACTGACCTGATGATTAGATCACAAAAACAACAGCGTCCGAGATTTCATGTTTTTATTCAGTCATTTCCACATTTGATTTAAGGGTAATATAAACAGGCAGTTGTTCTCTAAAACGTGTCTTATTCCAACACACCTTAGCCATGACCAATTGTTCATGATTCAAATTATTACGGTCAAAGATGACTTTGATCTTCAGGAAATCGTGCGGTACCGGTCGTCTTTGTTTTGACTGGCATAGTATGCACTAGGACAATTCGTAAGCAATGCTGAATCCCCGTCAAACTGTTTAAATATCTTGCTTTGTGATACCATCAAGATTTCAAAAAAGTGATGCGCGTCACAGGGTTAAAACTACTGTTTTAGATTTTAAGGAAAAGAGCAAGGAAACCTACGTATTAACCGGAAATGTTTACAAGTTCTTCGAGATACTAACTAGAATGGGATCAAAACTGACTGGAAACCAACCGGTTTCCTTCTTAGTTAATGTCACAGCCTGTCTTTGAAGACTGTTCCGCCTTAAACCAAAGTGAAGTTGGTGACCTAGGACGGGTTTCAGATGAGGCATCTGAGAGTAGGCTTACTCCGCTTGCAGGAAGATGACGGTCGTGTTGAAGGAAACAAACTTTGGATGAGTTCATACTCATATAAGACGATTCGTTTGGAAAAGCAATATTGAAAGTGGTGTTGGAAGGACCTTAATTATATACGTTAAATTTTTTTGTGTTTTGAAGACTGTGAACTTTTTGAAATCTAAATGTTTAATTTCTTTAGACAGTTAAATTAAACTTAATCAGGTTAGATGGCAAGAAATTTATGTGGAACGTTCTGCTTTCTGGTTTTCTTGCTGTTTTTGGCATTCTGTTCCTCCATTCTGACACAATCACCAGGTCATTTAGTTCGCAGTCCAGCCTCTGTGTAGGCTTGGTAACAAAGGCTGCGATATAAACACAGTAGTCTGTTGTCATTTAGTTCGCAGTCCAGCCTCTGTGTAAGCGTGATGACGAAGGCTGCGATATGAACACAGTAGTTTGTTGACTTAAAAACTTCATAAAAGAGATATTCAGCTAGGTTCCGGATGAGTTCCCCGCAAAAGCCAAATTTGTTGCAAAAGAGTTGGAGTTCGCAAATCTCATGCAATTTGGGTTCAAGAAGAACATAAGTTTGACGGAAACTCGGGGACTGCGCCAGCAACCTCATGGGTAGCGTATTACGTCTACTTTGTTGACTATTCATTTAGCGTATTTGTAAGTCATCAACGCTTTTGGCACTGATTTTTGTACTATTAGTGAAAAATCCGAATCGTCGCTTAGGATTTTCGCATTCGCTTTCTGGCATTCAGCAGGGTGACACGTTCAGTGGTGTCTCACGTCATGACACTGAATCACATTCCTGATTGGTGGAGAGACGGCGTGCCACTTTCCATTTTGTGTAGTAGTTGAGCTGTCACATCAAACTGAGCAGTTTTTGTTGGCTAGGTAGAGCTGCGTGTTTGTGTAACGGTATCATCCACACCGAATTCAACCAATGAAATGATGTCTAGATGGTCTGAGCCTGAACGCTCCAAATGTAAGCTCTGTAATGCTCTGCATGTTGAGGACGAGGGCTCGAGGGAGAGATACGGACATGTGCTCTAGATTTGATTAGGAATGCGCCCCTGACTTGCCCATTCGAAATTAATCAAGGAGAATCCGCTCTGGGTTCTCACAGTGTTTGCAGATTTGTTTCACCTACCTCATCGGAGGTTTCTTCACTTTTGTAAGGTTTCATCGTTTCGGTACGAATGCGTGAAGCTTGTCCCGGAACTACGTAATGTTGGTTTCTCTCACTTGAGTCAAGTCAGATGCTGAGACAGGTATTTCTGTTTCACCTTCTAAAGCTCGCTCTAGAGAGGGAGTAACATTGTCCTGAACAAAAGCTTTAGACTATTTTATAAGCGGATATTTCTTGTGCATTTTAAAGCGGCACAGTGTAACCAAGGACGCTGTTCAAATTGTTTCTGTTAGCTCACAAGATGACTCAGGTAACCTTGAGAGCTCTATACTCGTCGTACCTCTATATAGGAGTCCCCAAACGAGACACCCAGTTTTCTCGTGAACAGTTATTTCATATTTTTTCTCAAGACCTAATTTTAAGTCTAATTCAATGCGAATTACTCACCTCACCAATGGCTTTTATAGAGATGTTTTTAACATCTTGAACCCTAGGTTGAAAACCTCGGCCACATACAGTACGCCTCCGTCAAGACACACCTCCAAGCAAAGGACATTCTTAGAAAGACAAAAGCGCCTATCGCTTTGTAGTTTGTTTAACAGACGACTGAAGAAAAAAACTTTCCGGCCTTTGGTTCAGCTGTAGCACCCTTTCGGCGCCTAACTGCCATGCCACCAGAAGGTTGCAAGAGGGCTGGGATACTGCCAGGTTGCCCAAGTCTGGACAGGGGAAGTCAAGAGGCAGAGGTCGGGTTCGAACCACGGACCTTCCGATCAGTAAATCCGCGCTCTAACCACTTGGACCATCTCGCCCACCGCATAAAATCACACTTGTTAACCTTGTTTGTTGTCCACCTTTAAAACAACAACTGACCGCAAGGGTATGTCCAATTTAGAGTGTTCTGGATCTCAGGTCCCGTAGGCCACTGAGACCGAGCGGATGGTAATATCTTTTGCACCTTGTTTGAGAAACACTTTCCACCCCGTCAAACGGATAGGTAACACACATGACTTTTCAGTTGACAGGCGAATTTCTTTAACCAAAAGAAAGCCGATTCCCCCCACTATGATTGGGTAAAGTTAGCGATCTGCAGCATCAAATTTAGCGGACGCGGAACACAGAATTTTAGAATTTTAGGTCTGTTATCTGCAGTGTGGTAAGGATTTTTTTTAGAAGGATCGATCCCTAAATAGCTGCAGCTTGTGTATACAAATCAAAGTTCCATTGAACCACAAGAGCCATCATTCAGGGAGCCAATCAATGACCACGTGCGTGATGTGGTTTTTCTTTTCATGAATGCCACAAGAGCCATCATTCAGGGAGCCAATCAATAAGTGACCACGTGATGTGGTTTTTCTTATTCATGAATGAGTGTCACTACTTCCTGTCCAAGTGAGGACTGATCACACAGTGACTTCAGAATTTCTCGAGAATGACGCGGAACACTAGCCATCGGGTGAGCTAAAAATAGTTGAAGAACTCACCAAACTCTTGCGAATAAACAGAAACCTTTGAGCTGGCGGATTAAAAAGGAAAGAAAACTTGAAAAGTATTACTGTTAGTTTCGCTTATGCAAAAACGGACGGTGTTGTTGCTGAAACCTATTCCTATCTGTAAACCGCCTCCATCCAAATGGTTTGACTGATGGGTCAGGTGACGCAAGTGAATTCATAGTATCTATTTTTAGATTTTTATTCTTTTATCAGATACACACATTTACCTGCTAAAGCCCGGCTACACAGCAGGGGGTCAAAATTGCGCACTATCTTTTAAACTATGCGGCAATGAAAGTTTTGACATGTTATGATCGTTTGGACATATTCTGATCAGTTAACTGATGAAATGTTCCTGTGTCACTTATCCTGGTTGAAACACGAAGTTTGCAGGAGTTCTGTTTCCTATCCGGTATACTGCGAACGTCATTTTTTTTAGACAAACGATTAGTTAACTGACTTCCACTCACTGTGGTATATCTGTGGGTAAATCACTCACACTGTGATATCTGTGGTATAGTGTGTTGTCCAGTCGGGTTCTGTGGCACGCAAGCAAAATTGAGAGCTGAGACATATATATTATGAAGAATTGATGGTTTTGACCGGGGCTTTGTATATGATTCTAGCAAGCTGTACTGAGCACTACTCTTTTTTAGTTTTGACTGATCTGTACTGCTGTTCACGAGGATCCTAGGTTTTCAGGTGTCCATGGTTCACTACACCACCTGATCGGGTTCAGGTTTGTTTTCATCGGGAAAAACTGTTAATAAATGACCGTCAAAGAGAATTCAGGGTATTCCGGAAGTTTTGTGTAGTAAGGTAGTAATTTGCGACGTATTCGTGAGCGTCCTTGTCATGTAGCATACTGCAGCTAATTAGATTTGCCGCAGAAATTATTGGTGATCCCGCGACTTCGGAAACCTCGAAAGCAAACCTGCTCGGAGCACTGGCGAATCTTCGCGCGTTGGAGGTTCAAAACTTTTGAGTAGAAGTAACTAGATGCCGTATAGCCTTTGTTCTGCGGAGACTCTATTATTGAAAGGACTCTTGCAAACTGAATATTGTTGGAAGGGGGGGTTACAGAAAGCTAGAAAGGGTTGCCCCTCTTCTCCTATGTTTTGGAAATCCGCAGTTGATCTTAAGGTATACAAAAAGGGGAAAATAAAGAGTGTACCTGTAGTTTTGAGTATTAACGGGGAGGGGATTGAGTAGATACGTTAGGGTGGAATGAGCGATGGGAGAGGAACTCATCAACATTTGTTTGTATATTCCTGGCAAATGTCAAAGCAAAAACCTGTCCGTTGGTTGTCGGACAGGCGGCTGTTGATCTGTTCGCCGAGTTTGGCAATTGACTTGCAAATATTTCATCATTCGAGAAGACATCTTCACCGCGCTGATGAAGCAAAGCGATCTAAAATGATTCTAGAGATCCTGCCAGAACATTTGCACCCAAGAGTATACGTAAGGCATTTTCTTGTCAGACTGCTATCCCCGCTCTAGTGCCTATTACCGGAGAAAACTGGCCGACAAGGAACGCAACGACTTATTTAGAAGCTAGCGAGTGCGTGCAAGTACAACGGCCTTGCGCTGCATGTTGAAAGGGACTGTTTGACCTTGATCCAAGGCTAATCTGGCGCTACACTTTGAAGGGTGCTGTTTGATTTTGATCCAAAGCTGTCTGATTGGCGTTTAGTTGAGTTTCAGGGTCTCAGCAGGTTTCGAGTATTCTGGGATAATCTTCGGGAATCTGACCTCCCTGACACGGACTAAGCAGTGAATGTCGCTTTGTGAAATGATTCTTTTTGAAAAGGTGATCGAATCATCCCCGAAAGAATGAGAGGCGGCATGAGATGTAGTCAAGCGATTTGTTGGTGGGGATCAGGAGAAGTTTGCTCCGAAAGTAATTTGGTCAAAAACGACTGTGACATGAAAAAACATATCGTGCAACATGCGTATAAGTGATATAAACATTTTGGAAACAAATTATCCCTCATTTCACTCCAGATTATCATTTGTCATCATATTTGTTCTTCTAGGAAACATAATTTGTGTTTTACTGACCCAATCTTTTTTTCAAACGGAAATGTTCTGACACATCCTGATGTGATAATTTCCTGAGATCGTGTGGGGTTTCGGAAAAACCTATAGACCAATAAGTTGAAACACTAAACACTATTTTTGTACTATTTGCTTCCTTTTTTTCCAAACGTGTAGGTTGGAAAGAGATTTACACACAAAATGATATTCACAAACAGGGACTTGCCCACCAATGTGTGTTTTCTTGATGATTTAATGCTGAAAAGGTCAGCTTTGAGAGAACTGGAGAAGTGAGAAAAAGCTGTCGAAGGAAACAATTTCTCAGATTTGAAACCAGAAAAGCGGGTAGGATGAACTTCAAATTCTCTCTAAATACGGTTCTAACTAAACCTTCGTTTCCACGTGTGACGAGTACCATTGTGAAGATGACTCCCTGAAAGTGGGTGGATTCTTGGAGAAATGCATTTTGAGTTAAGTCCACCGAAGCACGTGGGCTGTGTAACATAGACGACAGACCATAATGTTATCGGATTTTGTTTTTTATTCTTTCATTCAGTCATTGACTGCTCACTGGTATTAAAGCAAAATACAGTATAACACTAGAACCTGGCTGGTAAATATGACACTGGTACTTTGAGCAGATCCATCGTCCGGCAGCAGCCTGGTCAAGGCGCTTAGCCATGTTGCGCACCGTTTCAGATGATCGTTCGTAGAAAAATACCCAGTCCAGGAGAAGGGGATTGCACCATTGATGATGGCCACAATACAATTCAGAAGGTATACGCAATAATAAAGGTTTTTAGCATAGTTGACAATGATGAAATGCCGCAGGTATAAAAATAAATACAATGCAAAATGGGAACAAATCAAAAGAGGAACTTATCGCCTGTAGAAGTTCCTTGATGTGAAAATCCGGACGGCGAGAACGTGTTTTCTCCGCTGTATGGCTGCTACACGTGTTCCATAATCGCCCGTTAACTTGTGAAGAGTGGTTGACTTTCTGCTCCCTGCGCGCGCGAGTCTGCGTGTGTTCGGTTTCCCTTCTGTGTAGGTCCGTTTTCGTTTACGTGGGTTTGTCAGCACATGAATTGTTGCTACGCTCACTGGACGGTACAGACAATCGATGTCCGATGAGTCACCTCAATGTGACGTGGTTTGTGAGTGTGAAAAAAAGACAACTCTCATGATCCAGTGAGCGACTGTGAGCTGAACAGTCAAGTATATGGGTGACCGGGTAGCTACATCTTCTCCTATGTGGGATTTCTACCCACCTCTGCTGTTGAGCCGACTTTTGATAACATCTTGTCCGTTGAAGGTTCATGAACAGCAGACTTGCATATCTCTTAGCGTTTTGGTCGTTCGTTTGTTCACCTAACTCCAGTTGGCTCTGTGCTATCCCAAGGTATCCCAGATTTGCTCTACTATGAATGCATGATGCTACAATGGACTTGTTGTAAACAGGCCCGTTTTGCCCCACAGTGCGGTAAGATTGGGCTGACCGCACGACATCGTTACCCATCATGTTTCTTCCTATTGGATTGCCGAAGAAAAAATCGATCATATATGCTCAGTGGGTAATGGGAAAATAGACAATCTTAGTTTGGGCTGTCTTCCACACCAGAGAAATAAGATTACTAATTATAACCAAGTGTTCCAAACAGCTATTTGAGGAATGTGAACGGATGTTCAAGTCTGTAATTCGCAAAAGCTTAAGCGATTAGCGAACTTGCAAACGCGTGGTGGGTGCGCAGCTTACTACCCTAGGATGGGTCAATTTATTTCCCAGTTGGACAGACCCTTGAGTATGGTGGAAAGCCGGAGCTTAGTTGACGCATTTCAAATTTAGCGTTTTGGCCGTTCATTTTTTCACCTAACTCCAGTTGGCTGTGTGCTATCCCAAGGTATCCCAGATTTGCTCTACTATGAATGCATGCTGCTACAATGGACTTGTTGTAAACAGGACCGTTTTGCCCCACAGTGCGGTAAGATTGGGCTGACCGCACGACATCGTTACCCATCATGTTTCTTCCAATTGGATTGTCGGAGAAAAAATCGATCATATATGCTCAATGGGTAATGGGAAAATAGACAATCTTAGTTTGGGCTGTCTTCCACACCAGAGAAATAAGATTACTAATTATAACCAAGTGTTCCAAACAGCTATTTGAGGAATGTGAACGGATGTTCAAGTCTGTAATTCGCAAAAGCTTAAGCGATTAGCGAACTTGCAAACGCGTGGTGGGTGCGCAGCTTACTACCCTAGGATGGGTCAATTTATTTCCCAGTTGGACAGACCCTTGAGTATGGTGGAAAGCCGGAGCTTAGTTGACGCATTTCAAATGAGCAGTGGAGATGACAAAACAACTGTGAGTTGAAATAATTCATCATTTCAGTCTGTGCGAATAATTTGTTAGCGAACTTGACTATTCACGGGCAACCAAGCATATACTTCTGCGAAACCTGCCTGCCAAAAGTTGACTGCAGATCAAGTGGTTGTCTACATTCTCATAAAGGAGACTACCCACAAGGTTGCAGAAAACTCTTCGACAGCCCACGGCCGGTTTCGCCCTTCTTGTGGCTCATCAGGTGGGCGCAGTCCCCGAGTTTCAGTCAATCTTATGTTCTACTTGGAACTCAAATTGGAGAAATACTGTCAGTTGCAAATCAATTTGTTTTTCACCGAGGAACTCAACTGAATCCCTCATTCATGATATTCTACAACTGAATGTGCTGCGCACAGGCCGCCTCATGTTTCAGTCGTTTACCTGTTCGCCGAGCTTGCAGACATTTCGTTACTAATCTCAAGAGACCGTCGATGCGCACACAAGCTACCAATAGTTCTATTTAGGCGAATGATGCCTTGGAACTTCCCAAACTGGACAGATAATGAAATCGACGAAATCAAGGAGTACTAGAACCAGGTGCCGCCATCATAATCAGGTTTAAAAACCGCTCTCTTGTCGTACGGAGTTAGCGCTGCGATTGTTTCACTCACGATTTTGGGAGGTGGGATGGATAGCTGCGCATTGGAGCTGGTGGCTGATATAATCGGTTTGTAAATGCACGGGTCAATAAACTTTTCATTGCATTGAAGGCAACGGATTGGATCTAAAGCTTCCAACTTGAGTTGTTGATTGAGCTTGAGTGATGTACTCATCCCGCGGACCACACTGACTGAAACGACGTTTCACAATTTCTAAACATGCCAGGAAGACCAGAGAGGAGCAATCCACCCGAGGACAGCGAAACCTCTTACTACGATTAACCGTGCATTGAGGCGGTCTGCGGGTAAACTCGTACTGTCCTATGTAAAGAGAGTGTGAATGCAGAAGGGCGTTTCCCCTAACCATGCACATATTCATGGAAGCAGCGCTGTTGACTTCCCAGGAGGAAGGACAAGTTAGAAAAATCGGTCCTGAAAAATGCATAGTCCAATCGCCCAACGGTTAACCGTGACCGCCGGTGCATCATTCAATAAGGTCCAAATACCTTTAAACCTAGGGTCGGGTGCTTCTCAAAAGGCAATTGCTGTGCGCAGAAATGGGACAGTAATGCCTTTTCCCCTGCGCCCTTGGGTTAGACCAACCTACTGCAGCTGAGCAGGTCAGACTATTGAGTCATCGGCTCTAGGAAGAAACTCTGAAGAGAGCCCAAACGTCCGCTGTCTGGCGGGTCGCACTTTTGAGCTGAAGAGTCAGTGTACCTTAAGTAAAACCCCTTCTTCAGGGAGTATCATTTACCCGCACAGTACTTCTTCCATCAATTTCCCTTCTCAACCAAATCCCACCACACAAGAAAAAAAATTTGCTGGCTCATTCGATTATCAGACCTGATGTCCTGAAATGTATTGGCCTCATGCACCTCTCTTGGCACTTGAATCAGATATGTTTGCACATACAAATTTCTCTGACACAGAACGTCACCCTGCATAGAAATGAGGATGAAATTGTGTGGAAGAAACTACTGGCAGAGATGCTGAAAGCCTTGTGAATAATTTTCCTCAAAAAAACCATGCTAAGATATCCAACTGAAAAAAAACTGAGGCAGTCTTTGCGCAACACAATCAGTTGAAGAATAGCATAAACGAAATTGGTGTGTGAAGGAGATTAAGGGCTGATATTCAATCATGTCCTTAATGTCAGCCGATGACCACGAAATCCATCACCCGGGGGGGGGGGGGGGGGGAATCTTCCGGTTATGTGGCGCGGACCCCGGAGCAGGTTCGAAAAGATGGCATCAAAAAGTCACAAGACCCACCGCACACCCAAATATCACTAGAGATCTGGAGTCGGATGGTGCATGGCTGAATGTCTTGTAGACAGAATAATGTCAAACAGTGTTCTCAG